TTTTCTTTGAACACACCTAGGAGGCTAATTCGAGAGATTACTCTAAATTGAGCAGCGTAATGAGTTATGATTAGGTTAAGTTGAATGTTCCATGCCCACCGGAAGGAAATTCAGTTGACATAATTTTATGGTGGTTCTAGCTCGAATCTTGTTATCACCACAGCACAACACCACTGCCCCATAACACTCAGTGGAGCAAACGAAGTGCATAAATAATTTTCCGAAAACTATAATTTATGAAGAGGAGGATTTGCACTTGGATGTAAGAGAACATACACACTACCATATTCTGATCAACTGACCTAACACCCATATACCACAAATTACTTATTTCAATACTAAAGCTTTGTTGGGGAATTTGGACCCCATAGAAGGAAACAGAAAATTAACTAAACCAAGAGCAATATTGGACCACAACACACTATGATAATCATGCCATAAGGACCACCTCGTACGGTCGATGGCATTGGGCGCATGGCTTGGGCAAAAAATAATGGAGCTTGTCTTATTTTTCATGTCTTCCATTAAAACAACAGATCAAGAACCACCCTAACCAAGGGCAGAGCAGAGAGAGCAGGATTGCAGAGCTGTCCTCACTCCCTCCCCCTCCGGTCTCTGCATAAAATAGTACGTTTGGCATTTCATGAGATGGTGACATGTTAGGGAACCCAGCCCAGCAAAGCCCATTGGATACCGATCCTGCGGTTTTTATCCTATCCAAATGGCTCTCTGCTGCTTCTGCTACAACTGCAAGACTGCAACAAAACCTGGGATAAAGATCGATGATGCAAATTTAAACCGTTTAGTTGGATATATCTGGGAGGGATAAAACATAGAAGAAGGATATCATTAAGCCTCTCACGAGTCGAATGTGCATTCTTCTTCTAAATTCATCTTACAAAATATTCATGGATTTCAATGTCCTGTGCCTCGTCTATCGTATCTGTAACAATTTATGGAACAATGGGTCAACTGCATGCACTTTTGAATCTAGCATATGGTGATTCTTTTTTTTTTTGAAAAAAAAAAAAACAAAGGATTAGGGTTCTGGTGGCCGTATGATGACTGAAACAGTTCGTTTTCAAGAATATTAATCCTGCAAAAATAAAAAAAATTATGAAATTTTAAGTTGAGGAGTACTTGGGATAGTTGACCATGCGCACATGGTTTACACTTTCATCAATGGCTTATGAGTTACGCCCGTACGAATGTTACTAACAAAATACGTGACTCATAATATATTGTTGATGCGCGAAACTTAGACTACCGAATAGTGGGTGAAATTAACCTCAAGAAACGTGCTTCGTTTAGCTGGTAGGGAATCACAGATGCCGGATAGTAAGTGTCGAAGGGCATATTAAAGTGTCTCATTTACTAATGGTTCACTTTTGCAAAGACATAGTTGATGGACCTAATTAAACCTATACTTTGCGCCGTGTTTGTGTTTAGTGTTTGAATAATGCGTTCACTGTTTCCATAATTCTAACCATAATTGAGGGTTTCCAATCTCAATAACTTATAATTCAGTATCCACTGAGAAAATAAGAAATCCTCACATTGAATGCGTACAATTAATATATCTGCGATTAAGTTTTCAAATTTGACTCCAATAATTAAATGATCATTGCGACTTGGGAGTGATTGTAATTGCTAGCCTTCTGGTTGATCTCAATAACTGTTCTCATATGTATAGCATGTGACCCTTGTTTGTAGGGAAAAAGAAAAGAAATCTAGCCCAAAATGATTTACATCCTAATTAACCTGCATGCATGGCAAAATTAATTAGCTCGAAAAATGATAGAACAATGAAAAACGTCTTAATAAATATTTATCCTCTCCAACCGTTGATCTTTAAATTTTACAACTGTATTTGATATGATTGTTGGATGATGTTTCATGATATAATCGTACATGATTTTTCATTTCATGTGTGTGTTAGAATATAATACTTCGGTTGTTTACGTAGTTTCAAGTTCTCGGAGTTAGCCTAAACCCTAGCTATGGAAGACGAGAGTGATCGACTCCAACGATATATTGATAATCATAATAAACTTAGGGAATTGTTATTAGCATTTCAAAAATCTCATTCTACACTCCAAACTTTCTATATTTGGAAAAAAAAATACACTTGTGAGAAGTGGAGAATGAGATTTTTGAAGTGCCACTAACATTTCCCTAAACTTAATTTGAAGAAAAAAATATATATAGTGTTATATATTAGCATATTTATTGAATACGTATGTAACGATGTACTATGCATAAATTAAACTGAATTTCAATACAAATATAATGATGAGTGTAAATATTTAGTAATCACAATCACGTATGTAACGAAGTAAACACATATACAAAAGGAGGAGTCTGTAGAATGTTAATGTGGATATTGGATATCTCATGAAGTGAAAAGAAAAGAAAAGAAAAGGGTGAGGTTTGAAGAGTTCAAAGATGGCATGCAGCAGCATCGGCCATAAAAGAAGAGAAGATGTTATACCTCTGTAACCAATTGCTCTCATTTTCTCTCTGGACTTTTATCAACAATCTGTATCTTATCACTGTCTTTCTTGCTTTATCTTTTTAGGTTGAACTACGGTACAGTCTATGCCCTAAAAGCAAACCAAAGAGTAAGGAACAACAAAGACATGTCATACAAATTTTAAAGATATTGTTCCCCGATTGCAGCATTCTCCCCCTACCCAGCTTTCACCTTTTCTTGCTTTTTCTATCCATCTTCTTTTCGTTATGTAAAATTAATTTCTTTTTAATCTTCTTCTAATTAAGTGCTAATCCACCCCTTTATGTTGCGGCTTAATTCTCCACTTTCTTTTTTGGTTCCTCTTTCCCATAATTCTACCTTTCATCCACTTACACATCTCTCAAGGTCTAACTAACATGCTCTTCTGCAACATTCATTTAAAACTATATGCAAAATTAAATATATATCCCTCGCAAATTTATATCTTTTGCATAGGGAAAAATAAAAATCAAAACTTTGAACATATTTTAATCCTAACACTACTACGTTACTTCATTTTTGTTAGCATTTTGACCGAGCCTAGCAGATTATGCACTTGTAACTAAGCAATGTGTTAAAGTGATAGGTTATACGATAAAATATTGTTGAGGTCAAATCAAACACGCTTTAAAACCCTCAAATTAGTAGATTGTCATGTTTTTTTTCATGTGATGGTATAATTATCGCATCCAAGTTCTAAAATGCAGCAATATAGACTTGATATACTATACGAGATCGCCCATAATATATGAGTGAAATCTTGAGCCTTCATATTTTATAATACTGTGACAATCGCGGTGCATGAGCAAATCAGCAGATTAAATTATTCAATCATGCCTAAGTAAAGCTTAAGCACTAGGCATGCAATTTTTTTCTAAAGAGGAAGTAAGTAGAAAGCACATGAGGTGCTTCTTGCGGGTGTCTTTTGTGAATTATAAACGATTAATTAGTGAGATCGATTGGTTAACTCAACTCGTGACTACAAGTGGCAGAAATCTAATGTATAAAATTCATTAATTCCCCCCAAGTTTCGAGCCAAACACAAGATTGGGATAGAATTTATGAAAAGATTAAGTGGATATTTAAATGCAACGGTCTTATATAAAATCTGAAATTAACTAAATGATCTGGGGACAATACATGTATGTGTGTGTATATATACATGGAGAAATGTTTCAATGCTCCGAAAACATAGTCTGGTATACTAATGTCATAATACAAGTAATTAGATACTTAAAAAAAAAAAAATTACAACCACTTATATATCATACTTGGTATACCGTGCCGTGTTCCGACACACTAAAAATTTCTCATATATATGGTCATATTGTAGATGTACAAGGGTCTTACTCTACTTTGGAGCTCTAGTTGACTAAGCCTTGTTTGGTGGGGGATGCCACGTACTACATGACCCGTTTGCTCTTTGGAAATATTGAAGGGTCCTTAGGGTTTAGGGTAATTGTATGACATTGCCTTGATTATCAGAAAGCGATTTTAACAACATTTGACATGAATAACTAAAACTATTTCTAAACAATAAAAACACACCGTCGTTTTTTCAAAAACATACATTAACTGCTTTGAACTACGTTTTGAGAAGGCATTTGGTTTGCTAGTAAACACTTTGTTGTGCTTCTATGAACATCGCTTATGATACAAACATTTAAAAGCACATACGTTTACAAACCGACCCTTAATCACTATTGCATTTTAAAGTGAATTTTAATAATTGAAGCTAAAATAGAGCATAAATACAAAATAATCAACAAAACTAGTTAATAGATACCCTAATTTAGTACGAGAGGAAATGAAACTATGAAAGAGCCTATAGGCTTGCATTGAAACACGAGGTGTCAAATTTGGGTGGTTTACAACTATTGGTCTTTGTTCTAGTCCCCTAAGTCATGCAAGATTTAGCTCATCCATCGAGGTCAAACGTTATTTAGAACACCGAAAATACTTGTGGCCGACAACATCTTCTAACCACATGCATTCAAACCCTCCCCTCCTTTCCTAATCCTCCTTGCTCAATTCTCATCTCTCCCCGTTTAAATATATATATATATAAGATTAGAATTCGGAAAATACATCTTTTTTATACACAATTTAACACGTTTTCTTGACTCTTATTTCGTAATTTTTTTTCAAAAATTTAAATCGTTTACGTTTCAATTCATCATTCTACATTCATACATTATCTTTGAAAAAATTAAATAAATTCAAAGTCATTAAAACATTTATTTTTGTAGGAAGAAAATGAACAAATAAGATTTTATAATAAAGTAGTAAATTTAATTCAACAATTATATGACTTTAGATTTGAACGATTATTAGCAAAGATGATATTTAGAAGAAGACAAAAAATATAATCGATTGGATCCTTGAAGTAAATTACAAAGTGAGCCCCACAAACATCTGAAATGTGTGTCAAAGGATCCTAACATATATATGTATATGCATAATTTTTCAGGGATTTTTAACAACAGAATATTTAAATAAATTAAGATAATGAACAATGTGGAAGGCAGCTACACCTACATAGATATTATTGCTTTCTTTTTTGTTTTTTTCTTGAAAAAGGCCATGCAAGAGGGGTAAGAGGAGATATATATAATTATACTGCCCTGCAGCTGCTGCAAGTGCTCTCTTCATTGCTATGTTCTTAAAAAGTTTCCTCCGGATAAAATGCCAACCATCTCCGTTTCCTAATCTCCGATACATCCACCATCACACATGGATCGGATCATCCGGATTGGATTGGACTGGAATGGATTTGATTGGGACAATTAGGATGAAAATTCAAAGATGGTAGGCAATTTAACAAATCCACATAAGTATTATTAGACATGGAAAAGACTTTTTTTTGGTAGATGGAACCAATTGAGGAACTAGCGAGGGATGATGCTGAGGATATCTGCATTAGGATTCTGGTTGAGCTTCCTCTTCTTCGACAGAGGCTCCGGCGAGGATGAGACTGATGATCCAACGGCCCACGAATCATTCGAGCTATCAGAGCTAAATGACACATCCATCACTCCATTGGGACTCCTTGGAACAGAACCAAACTTACGCTTGTTGGATTGTTTGCCATTGCCTTTGCCTCCGGAAGATGTTAATTCCGATATGAGCTTACAGCAAGCATCCACTTTGTCCTGTTTCAAGTTCAGTCAAAATCTAAGGACTTGTATAAAAGTTTCAAAATATCTCTTTCGAACGGGAAAGATTAGTACTTTTCGGATATTTAAGGGTAACAATTAGCAAACCTTATTGATGCCCAGAATTCCCAAGAGCTGGTTTCGGTATTCGATTAGTAGACACGGTTCTATGTTATTGACAACGTGCAGCATTGTGGCAGTGGCAACTACAGATGGAAGGAAAGACATGAACCTAGAATCTGCATTTACAAAAACATTCCAAATTCCAACAACACTGTAAGACACAGCGTAAAGATCGCAGCTTTACTTTGTTTTCGATCATGTTATTGCGAAAATCAAATCGAATCAATGACAGAAGAACAAGATTTGGATACCTGAAATTAGATTCAGAAGGATGAGCTCACATCTCTTGAGGAATTCCCAACAGAGATGGTTTTTCAGACCGAGTCTTCGGGTGATGTAATCGATGAACGAAATCGGAGTGACAGGATTCATCTTCCATTGGAGAGTTGAGAGCACCAAAATCTCCATTCGTTTGATTGTTCTAGCTTCAAACACATACTTACTATCCTCCACCTTAAAAAACACAAAGAAAAAAACCCAACAAATTTCAACAACCAAACACATAGGACAAGATTCAAGAAACCAAACACATTGTACCAAACAACATACTTGGAAATCCTGCAAAAGGGGGACTTGGGTCTCCTCAACTTTGGCCGCAAGAGAGATACATGCCACTGCAGCGAGCTGAGTCATCCACGGCTTCTCAACCTGAAGCTGGAGGCTGGATAAGAACCTGTCGAAGTAATCCGCCGCGAGCACCGCCGTTAGGGCGGAGAAAGAGTAGTGGGAAGTGACTCTCAGCATCCAATCCACCGCCTCTCTGCGAGCTCCGGCCAGAGAGGGGCTGATTTGGAGGGGTTTCTGGAGCTCGTTTTGCTCAGATTCTTTGGAAGACAGAGAGATTAGCTCCTCATTGTCCCAAAACAGGTCTTGCTCGACAAAGATTGGAGCTTTTATTGGTTTAAACGACGAAACATTGCTGTAAAAACTGTCTTCTACTAATTCCTCTTCTGGGAAATAATCCACTGCGCTCACTTGTTCATCCACCAAATGCTCTTCGGAGCAGTACAGAGTGTCTAAAAGGAAACCTGGGTTTTGTTCTTCACTTGATTCTACTGCTTGATGATGATGTTTTCGATCCATCTTATTCTGAGAAGAAGAGGTTTAATTTGTTCTGGGTTCATTCCTTCATTGAAAAGCCAGAGGCTGAGAGAGTGAAGAAGAAGAAGAATAAGAAGAAGAAAGATAGCATCTCTCTATCTTAATCTCTATCTCCTCTCTCTCTCTCTCTCTCTCTCTCTCTCTCTCAGAAGTAAGAACTGTCTCTGATTGATAAGCAGTGGGGGAAGAGGAGGGGAGGGACTGACCACAGGCCCCAAATATGCGTTTTATAATTTGTGGGTTTTAGTTTTTCCCCAATGTCACTGTGAAAGCAAACTCTTTATTTTTCTTTTTATTTTGAGTTAAACTTTTTATTCTTCTTTATATAAATGATATTTCTTTTTCTGATTTAATATTATTCTACTCGTAAAGGCAAAGAATTTGATCCGAGTCACATAATAAACGATCAATTACAATTCATACTAATTAGGTATCAACTTTGTCCTGACCAAAAAAAAAAAACAATATCAAATTCATTATTTTATGAGTTATATATTAGACATTTCACTTATAAAAAATACAACTAAATTGTAGTGCTAATGAATTCCCAAATATTTCAATATATCTCAAAAATATTTATATGGTGTCTTTCTCTACGGGTTATAATATGAATGCCTAACAAGGTTTGATTTGATATCTCCTCCTTCTCAGATATATTACCAAAAATTAAATATGCATGTTATAACTTGTGTAAAATTAAAACATAAATGTTCTGAATATATAATTAATATTCTCAACTTATACAAATAAGACTGAAAAATATAAATAATTAGTTATGTTTTTATTTTTTCAAAAAATAGTTATGTTAATTACTTAACCGTAATCTTCCCGTTTTCAATTTGTGAAAAGAAAAGATTGGCGAGATCGCGTGCTTAAATCCAGCGGACGCTGGTGAATATGGGCCATGCAGAGCATCAAGTTGACACGTGACATCTGTATCTTGTATTAGTTCTACATGAAGTCATCGAGTACTGTGAACCGTCAGATCTGAGGACCATATATGATGAACGTGCATATTGATAGCCAAGGTGAATAAAGAATGTCTTGAGCTGGTAGAGTGTATGAGCGGCCAGGCTTTAAAGGATATCTTGTACATTTTTGTGAAGTTGTGGTTTAATTAAAAGTAATGTTATCATTTTGACCACTTCACTGATTACCTTACTAATTAATAAAGATGAAATTCACTTGTATTAGAGAGACGATCAGTAGTGTAGTTCAAATAGCAACATCCTTAAAACAAGACATAACATGTTGAAAAAACTTGAATTAAAGATGTGATCGACAATGTGGTTCAAATAACAACACTCATGTTTCAATATTGACTCTACTGTTGAGAAAACTCACTTGCAACGTTGAGGAAAGAAGAGTGTAGAATCATCGTTTAGACCTTAAACTTTAGGTTTCTAGTCTTGCATTTGTTAATCGCATCTGTTTTAGATTTCAAGTATCAAATTTTAGATGCATCCCAAATCAAAATTTCTAAAACACCATTATATACGAGAGTTATTTTTAGCATTCCCAAATAACATTCAACACTGTTCTTTCTTTAACATCTTCAAAAAGTGTAATACGATTATTTTGGAGTCCTGATAATAACTTCCTTCAGCATCCTTGATAACTAACAATGCCAATAGTAGACGGCTTAATGATAATTAAAGAAAATTGAGTAAAAATGAGATTTGAATTTCCTACATAAAGAAATTTCATGTCTACAGTGTATGTTTATTTGTCATGTACTTGGTAGAAATGATAAACGGTGGCTTATTTTTTAGTCTTTCGGGATCGGAGTAGGTGGGTTTGGCGCGAGCGCGAACACCTTCGCGCGAAAAAAGAAAAAAGGAATCCTCTGAAATCTTGATGCAGCGAAGATAACTGATACTAACAAACACGAAGGGCAAATGAAATAAATTTCATACTTTTGGCTTCCCAACCTAAATAACTATTTAAATATTTATAACGATAAGAAATCGAGCTGTCAGTTTGTGTTGCATTTCGAAAGGACACAAGATTGCATCAAGATTTTAAGGGTTTTTATCACAAATATCTTTTAAATTCACTTACTCAATCAAGATGATTTTTAAAATTAAAAATCGATTATATTTCGTGAATATGAATGCTTGAAATCAATATTATCATTTCGTTAAAATTTTTATTAATTGCTGATGTGATATATATGTGATACCGTCAAGTCTAATTAAATCAATGCTTTCATGAAGTATTTTTTTCCCTTACTTGTTAATATTTTCAATTTTATCGACCATATTGACTGAATGAGACAATTTCATAAACTATTTGTGATAAAAACCAAAGATTTTGTTATTGTTGTGATTTTTCAAATCTCTTTTAATATATATTTTTAAATTAAATTAGGTGGTGGAGAGGACAATTTTGTGCATGATTCTATGACCGTTGTGTGCATGAATTGCCGTCAGACTAATGTTTTTCGATGTGCCCTCCTCTCTATTATATTTACCTAATGTCTTATTGCTTGTTTTATGTTCCAATCGTACTCCTTCTTTTTTTTTTTTTTTTCATTTCTTTCACCTAGTGTCTTATTGCAAGCTAAGGTGTGAAGAGTTTTGTTCTCCTGGATCCCATGAACGATGAGAAAGCAAAGCTACAAAAGTTAAATCAACATTTATTCTCCTCCGTTGTTTGATTAAGATTGAACAATATGATAGTTGATCATAATTTATAAGAGAACAAGACTAAATATATGAATCTGATTATTTTTTAAATTAAGTAAAAGAAAAAAGATAAAAAAAAAAGGGGGGGGGGGTTGGCGCTCTCGGATTCCTTTTATTTCAGCTCATCTGTATAAATTTTATATGCATATAAATTATTTGGATATTAACTTATTAGGCATTGAAGAGACATGGGGGAGTGACTCAATGGCATGTGAAAGAAAGGCAAAACAATACAAGAGCCTTGCATTTTTCTGTCAATGTGTCATATATATTAAAACAAATAGGAGATGCTGGTCTCTATGTAGAAGATACTGAAACTTGATGCATGTTCGGTACCAAGGCGGTTTTAATTTGGAGCTACATTAGTTGGGAATAGGTGGAGTGTTTGTGCTTGGAGTAGTAGTGTTTGTGTTCGGAGTGGCACTGTATTAGGTTCAAAAGTTTGTGACAGGAACGATATAGTGTGTGCTTAGAGTGGTAGTGTTGTATTTGAAGTGATAATGTACTAGTTTAATTAGGGATCAAAATTTTACTAATTTGAGAGAGGAATGTAGACGTAACATATGTCGTGCTTCATCGTGTTCGTGTCATGACTCATGTGAAATTGCGCTTAACCCAAATTGACATGTTAACTTATCATGCCTAAATATATGAACCTAAACTCATTCACAAGTTTTACGTGTCATGTCATGTTTCACTTGTTTACTTTCTCTCTTTGTTTTGTCAATCAAATACCAAAATACAAAACCTCATTGATTAACACCAAGTATAGCAAATGTCCAACCATTTTCCATGAAAAATACCTAAAATGAAGCAAGTTAAAATAATTTTTCAAAAAAAAAAAAAAAACATATTGGTTAAAGTTTCGCGAATGAACATCAACCTAACCGGTTAATTAACGTGTTATTATTGTGTTAACTTGTTACGGATCCAATTTAATAAGGCTTGACTCAATCACATATTTTTCCATGTGTAGAACAATGTACTGGTCAAACTAAGTGAAAGTGCGCACAAATTGAAGAAAAGCTAGTTGCGAATATGGTGATATATACTTGTCTACATGTCAATAGTGAGTTACACTGTATATTCTAAATTTGGTAACATGTACTTGTGCACAGGTCAATAATTAGCTTTTTATCATTGACTATGTATGGTTTAATTCGTATAAAAAATTCCATATATAATAAAATATTTTGCGTTGAATGGTTTTGGTTAAAGGAAAAGTAAAACTTTATGCAGATAATTTTGAGCTTTGGCCCAGAGCACACAAGTAAAGGGACTTGAAATGTCTGCCCTGCCATGTCCTTTTATATTATGTGGTCACGGTTAAGTTACGTCAATATTTTATATTAATTTTTTTTATAGAATAAATAAAAAGACAAAAGCAATAGAAATATAAAAGGTTGACGTGACTTAACTGTGACCACAAAAATATGAAGGCATAGAATGGGGAGGGCAGACAATCCAAGTCCCAAGTAAAGACATCCATGAGCGAACTCTTTTTGTTCTATTTTCTTTCTCGTTTTCCACTCTTAATTTTATATGATCGTATATATTCTTTGTAGGGTAATCTTCCCAGGTTTTCAATCTTATTTGCGACGTTCTAGTGTAAGCGTCGCTATAACACAATTCATATTGGAGGAGGGATGATGGAACGAACCGAAAATAAAATCTCATGTGTCATGAATTAAATCACATAGACTACGTTCCTTCAAATTGAATATTCTAAACAAAAAACAAAAAAAAGGTCTGCATGCATGACGAACCCATTACTTAAACTTAAATTACACATAAGTGTTTCGTGAAACTCAACGCATAATTGAATTCAATTAAGGTTAAGATTATAAAACTTAGATTATCATTTTTCAATGTTTCTTTTTAAGATTAAACCTTCTTATTTTCAGTGGTTTAAAAGCTGTAGTTTAATACATGAATATTTCTTGCAAGCAGTTGTTTTTCTGGAGGGCAAACTACTATCTCATTATATTATCGATTATTATTATATGCACCTGTATATACACACACACACACACACACAGAGTTTTCTTGGAATTACACACTTCCCAGTAGAATTTACTATCCCACCAGGACCAGCAGGAGGACAACTCAATTCCTCTTTTGTACGAAAAGTTGGTCTCTCTCTGCACTCCACTCAACCATTATGTTCACAACAGCAAACAATTACAGAAGAGAGAAAACGTAGAGAGAGAGAGAGAGAGAGAGAGAGACCGAGAGAGTATGTGCTTATCAGTCTATGCCTTCAAGTTTATCAGAGTTTTTCCCGCTATGCCATGCAAACAAAAGGAGAAGAATGGAAGAAAAGGGGACACGTGGAGGGCTTCTAGATTTTTTCTTTGATTTGGGTCTTGAGATGTGAGGAATATTGTTTCCCCTCCTGTTTGGATGCTCTTTTCATCTTTTCTTATTTATGTAATCACGATTAAACCACGTTAATATTTTATATTGATTTTTTTTATAGAGATAATAAAACAAAAAGTAATAAAAATATAAAATATTGACGTGATTTAATCG